ATCGTGAAAAGTGCTCTTACCTTCCAAAGTGAGAATTTATGAACTCTCAATGTAGCTGGAAATATACTTTTAAAACATTCATTATGATACCAGACAACTCTGAAGGACATTATGATGAAATATGGTATCCATCCCCAGAGAAAGAACTGATGGGTATCAGAATACAGATTGAAGCACACTTTTTAAAAAAACTTTTTTTTTCTTGAGTTTTTTTATTTTTTTCCCCACAACATGACTATAATGCAAATGTTTTACATGACTATACTTGGATAACCTATATCAAATTGCTTGCCTTCTCAGTGATGGTGGTGGGGAGGGAGGAATGGAGAGAATTTGGAACTCAAAGTTTTAAAAACTAATGTTAAAATGGTTTTACATATAACTGGGGAAAATAAAATATTAAATCTAAAACCTACATTATGGTTTTTGTTTTTTATTGCTTTCTTTTTGCTACATGGCTAATACTGAAAAATGTTTTGGATGACTTCACATTAATAATTGATATATTGTTTGCCTTTGTTAGATCTGGGAAGGTGAAGTGGGGAAAGAGAAATTGGAACTCAAAATTAAAAAAAAACGAGTGTTAAAATTTTATCAAAAATCTAATTATGAAATATTTACCAAAATATATGAAATATATTTTAAAATAACACCATTTATGTGAGCAGATTGGTGACACAGTGGCTAGAGCACTGGCCCTCTAGTCAGGAGAAACTGAGTTCAAATCCAGCCTCAGACACTTGCTAGCTGTGTCATCCTGGGCAAGTGACTTAATGATGATTGCCTCAAAAAAAAACATTTTAGATTCTCATCTGAAATAAAGATTCACCTTTAAAAAGAGAGGAGTAGCAGCTAGGTGGTGCAGTGGATAGAGCTCTGGCCTTGGAGTCAGGAACATTGGTTCAAATCCAGTCTTAGACACCTGACACTTACTAGCTGTGTGACCCTGAGCAAGTCACTGAACCATGATTCCCTCACCAAAAACCAACCAACCAAAGAAACAAACAAAAAACACCACTTGGAAGCACCTGCTCAGAACCATGGATTGGCTGAAATGACAAAAAAAAAAAAAAAGAAAAGAAAAAAAGAAAAATATTGCAGGGGGATGTGGTGAAATAACAAACTTTCATAGAAATCTGAAATAGTCCAGTCATTCAAGAAAGCAACTTGGAACATATCCACAAAGCCATTAAACTGTATTTTCCCTTTAACTTAGTAATATTCATACTAGGTGTATAACTGCAGTGAAATCAAAGAATTAGTAAAAGCACCCATACATACAAAAATATTTACAGCAGTTCTTTTTGTGGGGACAAAGAATTGGAAACTGAAAGGCTGCTTATCAGTTCAGAATGGCTGAAATAGTTATGGCATATGAATGTGATGGAAATCAATTGTGCTGTAAGAAATGATAAAGGAAATCATTTCAGGAAAGCCTGAGAAGACATATATGAATAGATGCAAAATAAAGTGATCATAATAAGGAGAACCATTTACACAGTAATAATATTAGAGCAAAGATAATAAACTGTGAAAGATTTACAAACTTGAATCAACTCAGTGACCCACCACAGTTCCAAAGGACTCATGTCAGAAAATGTTATTCATCTCCAGAGAGGGAAGTGATGAAATTAGAGTGCAGATTAAAGCATTTTTCTTTTCTTTTCCTCTTTCTTTCTTTTTTTTTGGGGGGGGGACATTGCTAAAGCAGTAACTTCTCTTGCATGACCACTTTTGTAACAGGCTTTGCTTTTCTTGCTTTCTGAATGGGTGAAGGCAGATGTTGAGATAGGGAGATAATCTAAAACTGAAAATAAAATAAAGTAGAATGAAAGCAGAAAAATAAAATATGTGACTTAAAAATAAAATAAAATAATTACAAATAAGACAAAACACTTGGGAGTCTACCTGTTAATACACAGAGGAACTATATGAACACAATTATAAAACACTGTTTATACAAGTAAAAGGCAGATCTAAATAATTGGAAAAAGTTAATTATTCATGAGTATACTAAGCCAATAAAATAAAATAACAAAATACATAAATTAGTTTACTTATCCAGTGCCACCTCAACCAAACTACCAAAGGATTACTTTATGGAGCTAAAATGATAATAACAAAATTCATTTGAAATTTAATTTCATTCAATAAATATCAATGAAATACCTACTATATGTTAAGAATTAAGCTAAGTGCTATAGATAAAAAAAAAAGAATGTCTCTTCCCTCAAAGAGCTTACAATCTAATTGGGGAAGACAATACATAAAAAGAAGATGAAAACTGAGGTGGTTGGAAGTGGGAGAGAAGGTATCCAGAATAGCAACATGATTATGGTGGAGTAAAATATAGGGTGTGTAAATGGTGGGATAAGGGACAAGAACTCCAAAATATCCAGGGAATCAATGAAAGAAAATGGAAAGGAAAATAGCTCAGCCTGATTTCAAACAATACTACTACCAAACCATAGTTGTAAAAAAAAATACACCTTGGCATTGGGTAAGCAATTATGGATAACAATATAGAGAAACAAATGAGCATAGTAACCAGATTTTGATTAAAAAAAGGTCCCAGATTTTGGGGGAAGAAATCAATATTCAACAAAAAAAGCTCAAAATGGATAGATGATTAAGATAGAAAGCACATTAGAGGAGTATGGAAAATTACTTCTCAGATCTGTGGATAGGGGAAGAGTTCATGACCAAGTCAGAAATAGAGAGGTTCACAGAAGGTAAAATGAAAAAATTTGGTTATATAACATTAAAAAGACTTTGCACGAATAAAACTAATACAGCTAAAATTTGAAAAAAGAAATTGGGAAAGCATGTTTGTAGGAAATTCCTCTAACAAAGGTCTCATTTCTTTTTTATTACTTTATTTGAAATGTAAATACACAATGAAAAAAGAAAAAGAAACATATTATAAACTTAAATACTAAAATTTAAATACAAAATAAGAAAAGCAAAAATGCATTACTCTTGAATCTTTATGTCAAAATTTCTGTTAAGTTCAGGATTTATTTTTTTGCAACCAAATCCTGAAAGTCTGACAATTAAGAAATGTCCATTTTTTTTTCCATTCAGTATTGTGCTTAATTTTGCTGGGTATGACATTTTCATCTGCAACCCCAATTCTTTTGCTCTTCAATGTATAGTGTTCCAAGACCAACAGTTTTTTAGTGTTGATGCTGCTTGGTCTTGTGTGATTCTAATTGTGGCTTTGCTATATTTGAATTGCTTTTTTTTTTGTTGTTGTTGTTGTTGCTCCTAATATTTTCTCCTTGAGCTAGGAGTTTCAGAATCTGACTATGATATTCATGTAAGTTTGTCTTGTAGGATCTCTTTCAGGTAATAATCAATGGATTTTTTTATATTTCTACTTTCCCCTCTTGTACTAATGCTTCAGGACAATTTTCTTCAATTATTTCTTGTATTATTATATGATATGATATTATATATATACATATACATATATATTATATTCTTTGGAGGTCTTCAGAGAAAGACTAGGTGATGAAGTGGATAGAGTACCAACCCTGGAGTAAGGAAAACCTAAGTTCAAATCTAGCCTTAGACATTTACTAGCCATGTGACCCTGGGAAAGTCACTTTACTCTGTTTACCTTAATTCCTTATCTGTAAAATTAGCTGGAGAAAGAAATAGCAAACCATGTATTTTACATGCCAATATTTTTGCCATGAAAGTTCTATATGTGGTCACTAAAGGTCAGACATGACTGAAATGACTCAGCAACTAACAAGAGAAAGGTTGGATGAGCACTTGCTTGGTCTGCTGCAGACAAGATGTTTATTCATGCATTTGCTGTAGTAAGAGGACCTTTCAGGTCCCTTTCAACTCTGAAATCATATGATTATACGATTTAGGGAAGGGATGAACAGATTTCATTTTCCTATCAGTCATTGGAAGCAAGAAGTTAGTTTGTGCCTGAGGCTTCTTATTTGTCTTAGGATGATATCTCTAATGCTGGTCAGCATCTGGGATTTGGTCACATTGTGACTCTTCTAAAAAAGACTTCCCCCAGGTGTGTTTCTCTATGGATTACTACAGAACATTTGGTGAGCACTTTTCCCTCCTTGTGGTACTGCCTCTTTAACAGAGATCAATCTTAGTAATAGCTAATAACTTATATAGCATTTAAAATTTACAAAGCACTTTGTAGACATTAATTCTTCTGAGTTTCAGAAGAAACCAGTCAGGAATGTATTATAAATTTTATTTTTCAGATTTCTCAGATGAGAAAGTTATGGTACAAAGATAACACAACCAGAGCTTGGAGAGACCTTGGTGCTCTCTGAGACTCTCATTATTGCTGAGAAATGTTAGATCCTGTAAAACAAGTTTTCCTTGTCATAGAGGCCATAAGTGGCAGACCTTGCATTCAAACTTTTGCCTAATGAATCTGAGTTCACCTCTTTTTTCCTGGGTCTATAACTCATTACTTTCTTATGTTCATACAGCTATTAATTGTCACAGACAGAATTTTCATCTTTTATCCCAAGGACTAAGTGTAGTGCCTGGCACATACAAGCACTTAATACATGCTTATTGACTACTTCATTTGTGCTTTAGACCTCCATAAAACTTTAACTTCACTGTGGTTTTGAAACCACTATTTCTGACAAGAATTAAAGGTTTTGTATCATAACCATTATGTGTTTAAAATGGATAGGGTTAATTATTGTTTTCTGAAGTTAATTATCACAGATTTTCATGAACTTTTTCCCTCCCTTACAATAGATCAGTAAAGAAGCCCTTGAGACTTTAGAGATGAAAATTTGTATAGGATCCAGAAAACTTCCCAGTTGACTCATAGTTTCGTTGGCTGTCCCTTTAACTCCACCCCTTGTTTTCAGGTTATTATACACCTTTCAGAATTTTTCAGGGAATTACAACAGCACTTGAAGTTGAGGTATTAAGAACTAAGGTGCAAACAGAGACTAGGAAAAGACACAGAAATAGAAAGCTGAGTAGAGAGCACAACGATGAACATCATCCGAAGCTTAAGTGCTGGAACCTGGGCACTACTTGTTCTCTTCCTGACTCTCTTGTTTCTGTAAGTGAGAATCTCCTTTTTTCCCACTACAATTTATCAGGGATTAGGCAGGTCCTTTGTGAATATCACCAGACATTTCACAATGACTGGTTTCTAATTGCTTCTTACTCTTTGCATAAGGTAGATAAGGATATATTTGTTTAGTATTTCTGTAACTGAAAATGCTGACTTTGTTTATATAAATGAGTTGACATATTTTGCTAGAAAAAGTACCAAAGGAAAGAAAACTCCTTTATCAAAGGCTGCATTGTCTTTTTACCAAAAGAATAGACTTTTAGGATATTCGTTTGGTATTAGTCAAGCAATTTAAAAGCCAAGAAAACTCCTTAAAGAAACCTAAGTTCATATCAATTGCCTGTTTTTATTCTTTTCCAATTTTACTCCCTATTATTTTACTTTTCACAGTTTAAAAGGTATTTCCTTATGTCCAATTTTTTTTTGCAGTTTAATTGCTGACATTCATCTTGACAAAAACACTAGTTTTTTCTATCATCCAGTTTCTAGGGATTACATATGACACATTCTGCATTCTCATTTTCAAAGGCTTTGGAATGGGGCATCGCCAAAAGTTGAGTGCTGTTGTTCTGCTCCCTCTTTCTCTTTTGACTAATCACTGTGCTAGAAAGACAAGAAACTAGAAAACTGGTCAATGTCACAGATACATGTTAGAGATGGAAGCTTTTCTGTACAAACAATATGAATTGCTCAATTATGTCTAATGCTGTAGTCCCCACAAACTGATGAGGCACAAGGTCTCGTACTGGCCATAGAACTGGTAGCGACCCAACCTCAGGTCTTGCAACCACCCTAAACTTCAGCATTTGCTGTCTTTATTTTGTAAGGCTTCTGATGGCTTTAAGGACTATTATTTAATTACGTTCTACAGGATATAAATGTTTTGTGCTTAGGCATTTGCTTATTCCCTGGCATGTTGGTTAATTTATCACATAATGAGGCACCAGTCACAGCTAAATGTTAAAGAAAAATTCACAGAAGGACTTTGTAAATTTCCCTTTCTATTTTTCCTACAAACTATGAATCTTACTAATTTATTCAGGGAGTAGAAGTTGATATTCATATGCCCTTTGTGTGCTAATATTTTCAAAATTCCCTGTAAGGAAATAGAGAGTAATTGTTATAATTATCCACATGAATATAAAAAATGACCAGTTTGGAACAAATGAGGTTGTCTTTGAACCGGGAAATAGTTTAATATCATAATCCTGATACATAAATCTCTTCCTTAGAATATCAGGAAACACTAGAAGGTCACAGAACTGGAGAAATACGACCATTAGATACTATGGGATCCTTCTACATTCATGCCAAAATCACCGCAACATTGATGGCTTAGGAGACACTTAGCAAACTAGAATGACAACATGCTCTGGAGTGAAAGGCCCAAATTCAGATCCTTCTCTTGATGCCCACTTACCCATGTGACATTGGTCAAGGATCTTAAATCATTGAGCCTCAGTTACCTCATTCGTATAATAAGGGGAATCTGAAGATGGACTCTGAAGTGTCTTAAAACTCTGGATTTATAATTCTATTAACTTGTCACATAACGAAAGTCACAACAGCCAATGTGTGCTGCTTTGTGCCATTGCTGGCTGAGGGGAATGATGTATTACAATGTTTATAGGAGCATAGAATATGAGACCTAGGAAGGAATTTGAGAATTGTCTTCTACAACTCTCTTATTTTCTCCCTCATTTGACAGCTCAGGCACTCAAGGTTAAGACAAGAGAAGGAAGCTGCCTAAGAATACAACACAAATATAAAATAAAGTAACATAATTTAGTATTGTATGTATATGGAACCTATTAATTTGAGATTATAATCAGCAAACAGATATGCTAAGTCAAAAGGAAGGGAAACTATTCCTTAGATGAGGAAATAATATTAATATCAATACAGAGATGATTAATGCATTGCATGTCAAACAAGTTCTCCAAAATATTTTCTTGATTCTGTAGTCCTACCAATGATATATTAGGGTATCTAATTCTTCAATACTCAACCAAAAGTGGATATGACCATTGTGGATCTAATAGCAAGATTCTGCAATGCATTCTAGTTTAGGACAATGAATTCAAAGGTATTTGCAAATGAAAACATGGGGCAACTCACCAGCTCTTGATTTGGACCATCCTCCCTAGAAATGTCAAACACCTTCAGCAAGCCTGTCTTTTTATTCAGTAAAAAAGTCTTTGAGAAATTAAAGCTATGGGCATCTTTGATAGGTTCATGATGAGCATGAGTAAGCTGCAGCATATAATGAAATAAGAAAGAAAGGAAGTTAGGAAGGAAGGAAAGTAGAAAGGAAACATGGAAGTAAGAAAGCAAGACTTTTCCAAGTAAGTACTATATTCCAGGTGCTGTGGTACTCATTTGATCCTCACAACAATTCTGAAAGGTAGGTACCATTATTATCACCATTTTACAACTGAGAAAACTGAGAAAAACACAAGTTAGGTAACTTTCCAAGGATCACACATCTACTTAGTGTTAAAAAACTAAGAGTTTCTTCTCTCTAGTTCCAGTGTTCTAGCCACCAGCACCTGCTCTGAAGAAGTAGTGGTACAAAGATATCCTCAAGACGTGTCTTACATATCCCCCAATTTCTACCACAATTACTTATTGTGTGTGTATGCATAAATCTCATTTGTAATTAGCTGTGAACATGTTAGAGATATTAAAGAGATAGCATCCAATAGGAAAGAGTGGTCAATAATGACAAGTGGTATGGAGAGGTAAAGAACTTTGAAAATTGAGGAAAAAGTCATTGAATTTAATTTCACAGTTAAGAGATTGTGTTGCCATTTGAGGAAGCAATTTCAGCTGAATAATGAGATCATTAGCTGAAATGCAAATCATGTTAGCCTAGCCTAGACTAGAACATAGATTCAGCCTCCAGCCCAGGACAAAACTTGGAGATGGAGCCTGAAATCAGCACCCAAAACTCAGAAGATCTGCAGTACATGGACACCTAAAGATGATCTTGAACTCAGCTCAGCTCCAGGCTAGCAACTTGGGTTTTGGGACAACCTGCTTACCAGGCACTCAGTGCCCAAAACCCCAAGGTGAATATACTGTGGACTTAATGCCATACACAGGAAGAAATATGTATAACTCTAGAAGAGCTATCATGATGGAATCAACTCCAAAAGTTGTCTAAGCTAAATCTGTAATGCCAGGTTGCCTAGAACAAATGAGTGAAGTAATGACTAAACAAACAAAAAAAAGACAAGAATTACTAAGAGACCAAGGTTACACAAGTAGTAAACCAAGAAAAACATCCATACATCCATCAATCTATCTATCTATGCATCTATCTATCTATCTATCTATCTATTTATCTATCTATCAAGGAAACCTTGAAGAAAAGCACAGCTTGCTCCCAAAAATTAGAATCCCTAGATTAAACAATGAAAGAGCTAAAAAAAATTAAATTAAAATGGTATTATAAATTAATTGAGCCTGACATAGAAAAGAAATGGAAAAGAAATGAGAGGTGTGGAGGACCCACCAGGAAAGAGAATGAACTGTTTGTCACAAAGTGTACAAAACCTTAATGAAATAACTGCTTACTTGCAAATCAGAATGGACCAAACAGAAAATAGCAATTGTGTGAGACAAGATGAAATATTAAAACAAAGTAGAAAGATTGAAAAATAGAAGATAATATAAATTCTCTCATATGAAAAACTGACTTGGATAACAGATCATGAACAAATCATATAAGAATCAAAGGACTAACTGAAAGCAATAACTAGAAAAAAGAGCTCAGGAATTCTATTTCAGAAAGTCAGAAAAGAAAAAAAGTAAAAATTGAAAGAATTTGCCACAGTTCTGGAAAGAGATGTCTAAATGAAAACTCCTTGGAATGTCAGAATCAAATGTTCCAAAGCAAAGTAACTGTCACAAATATTGAGAAAGAAAGAATTTAAGTTATGAGTAGCAAAAGACAAGATCTTATAAGATTTAGCAGCTGACATTGGAGAAGAGCAGAGAGTGCGGCGTATGGTATTCCTCAAAGCAAAAGACATTCACTTAGAACTAAGAATAACTTACCCAGTATAAAACTGAATACCATTATACTGGGGGAAAAGGGATTGATGATGAAATAGAGAACTTCTAAGCATTCTTGAAGAAAAGACCAGCTTAAAGTAGAATCTTTACACTACAGACTTGACAGTAAAAAGATGTATAAAAAGGTGAGCATTTGAAAGATTTTTAGGAATGAGGTATTTGCATTCCAATTGGTCAAGAGATATGAAGCAATATCCGCTAAGAACTACAGTGCTAAATGAGGTCATGGAAGGGTCAGATTCAGGCCTTGGAAATGATTTTTATGATGTTTTGATGGTCTTCAAGGAGAAAGGAAAGAGAGGGGGGAAAATACACTGGGGAAGAAAAGAAGAGGAATGGAGGAGACATATAGCATAATTGAAGTAGAATTGAAAATAGGAATTCAAGTAGAATTGAATCAGAAATTCAAAGAAATGAGGAAGGATTGAGGAAGGGTATGACTTGAATCTCACTTTGAACTGAATGCAAAGCCAAGTGAGCAGAACCAGAAGAATAATTAATATTAGAGTATTTTTAGAAAGGTCAACTTTGAAAATCCTAAGATCTGTGATCCTCACAATGATTAACTATGTGTCCAAAGGATTGATAATTTAGAATATTGTCTATCTCTTGACAGGGCTGATGGTCTACTTATGCCAGAGGAGACATGCATTTTTGGATGTGGATAATGTGGGAATGTGTTTTGCTTGACTGTTTATTTGTTATAGAGATTTTGTTTCCCTTTTTCTTTTCACTGTGTGTGTGTGTGGAAGAGGATGTAGGGAAGTTGAGCCAATACTTACTAATATAAACAGTATTTTAAAAAAAAGTGAAGCCAGAGCCTAAGAGTATACTGAATAATGGTGGTTCAGGGACAAGAGTTCAAGGTAAAGATGAATAATAAGATTATGAAAAAAAAGATGTTGAGAGAAAAGAAATTATAAGATGTGGTTAGACAAGCAATTTTAGAATCCTTCACCATAGAAGTGGAATATTTGAGGTGATTATGAGATCAAGGCTGTTATTATCCCTGTAAGTGACTAATAGGAAATGGAGCATTAGGACATGGGAGTTGACACTAAAAAAAAGGGAAGCTAGGGTGTTTTGGGGACTAACTTTAAATTAATATTGATGTCACTTGGCATAAGGGCAGGGTTAGATTTCAGAGGAATAATGAACCAGCATCTGAAGTCCTTGAGAAAAGAGAGCTGTAATCCAATAAGTAACTGCACAGAATTGGATTGGGTAAGATACATCTGTAAAGAGTGAATCTTAAAGGAAAACAGGTTGGTGAGTGATGCCAGAGGAAGGGTCTGTGAGCAGCAATAAGGAGCAAGGAAGGAGTATACTGAGTCCTCCACCAGGATTAGTACATCTGAGGGCATGATAACCCAAGAGATGAAAGGAAATGTGTTGATAATAGAATGCAGATCCAGAGGATATAGTGGTATAGGTGGGCATGATAGGTGCCTGGGTGCTCATGCTTGGACCCCAATTCCAAGACCATGTTTCTCCCTCTCCTCAGAAATACTATCCCTGGCTATTTCTTCCCAGCCCAAGGACACTATTCCTAGCAATCACTCATGAGTGGACCTCAGCAGCACACATATCTCAATGACACTATACCTAGCAGTTACTCATGGATGGTCCTCAGCAACACACTTATCTCTCTCCCTGGTGCAGTAACAAGCTACATCTGTAGGGATTATTAGTTTGAACTGACTTTGTACTGGCTCATAAATATATTCATACCCAGTGGTCTCTATACCAACTCCCTACCTCATTATCTGCATCCTGGACTCCTCATGTATATCCTAGACTTAAAATATATGAATACTCCCTATATCTAGCTTATCAAAGAAGACAATGACTGGTGTCAGACTGGACAACCTTCAGTTGGCCTTGACCACTAGTTAACTTAGTGATGAAGCAGACCTAAAAACTACACTTCCTTTGCCCCTCCCCCCGGGATTTTCCTGGCAAACTCTGGGTAAAATGCCTACACTGTAGATATAAAAAGTGCAAGTTCTTTTAAGAGCTGATCACTTCTTAACCACTCCCCAATCCCTCCCAAATCACCCAATTGGCATACCTGGCACATGTTTTACTATAACTTTTCTTATATAAACTTTAACTATGTCCCTCTATGGTTTACAAGTTCCTTAAGAACTTTTGCTTGCTGAATAGCATAAAAAATAAACCTTTGCCAACTTGTCTTAAAGAATACTTGAGTCCATGAATTCATTCCAGATGACCCTGTCCTATACTTTGGTCCTTGGGGGTTCCCTGAACCCCTCAAACTGCATCAGGCAGAGCTGGATTGTTACCTGAGGAAGATAGGACTGTGATGTATAGGGATAAGAGAATGGGAAATAGAAGCAGGGGAAGTGGGTGATTTTTGCTTGGTCAAGTGGGAACTCTCTATCAAATGGAATAGTAGGAGTATGCAATGTTATAGTAAACAGTCATTTCTCTTTCTAGTCTCAATGAAGGAGTGATATTAGGAATGATGTAAATAGCTCTTTCTGCATGTAAGGTCCTAAATGTAAGAGGTATGGTATCTAAGTCTTTGGTGTTGGGATGGGTCATTAAGTTGAGTGAAAGATATTGGAAACTGTGATTATGGTGTCTGATGCTCTGGTTCTAAAGATGAGTAGTCTGGTGTCTGAGGCACCAGAGCTGGACTGGGTCCTAAAGAGGAGGGCTTCATGTCTGAGGTGCATGTACTGAGCTGACTTGGTTGTATATATGGTGTCTTCATCCTGGACTGGGTTCAGTCTAGCAACAGAGACTTGGTCTTAGTCATTACACAATAGAATTAAGCTCTAGTAATGATGAAATAAGTCTTGATGGGGGACATTATATTCCAGCAGCAACGCTGATGATGGTTTACTCGAGGTTTGTCAAACCTGACTACACCTAATGTGTTGTCTCAGGCCTTACTGAGTCTCAGGTAGGGTTTCAAGGAATCTCAGCCTGGCCTTGTAATGTCTCAGTATCTTTGTGGGAGCCATGGAAGTGCCCCCTTGGCATCTGGATCTGAGTGAATGAAGATTTACCTCAGAATTACCTTTATAGTTCCTCCCCTTGTGATTACTGACAAGTGGACTATACCATTTATGTCATTGGTCTTTGCCTTGACTCTAATGTCTCTGTAATTTTTCCTTAATTTTATAGATACGGGACCTGGACACACAAGCTCTTTAAGGACGTGGGAATTCTGGGACCAGCACCTCTTCCTTTCCTTGGAAATGTTCTTTATTACTGCAAAGTAAGTTTCTATAAGTTTTCCTTTACTTTCTTTGCAATGTGGAAAGAGCATTTGCTCTTGGCTCAGGAAATTTTGGTACAAATGCCAGCTCAGATGCTTATTACCTAGGTGACTTTGGGCAAGTCAGTTATTCTCCTTAGGCCTCAGTTTCCTCATCTGTTAAATAAGAGATTTCTACTATCAATTCAAGGTATAGGATCATGTGATTCTTTGTAAGATCGAAGACTTGCCAAAAATAAGTTATAGTGCACTTGTCATTTAGTGTTATAGAATGGAGTATGTAGCAGTATTCAGGCCCTCTATTGATTGGACAAAGAACTTCATTAACAAATCTTAGGGATTGAATGTTTTACACTAAATTCTGCCTCACTGGTTGTCAGTGTTATCAATACTCTCTGGCAGACTTAGACATTGATTCAAAGGGAATTTCCTTTTGAGCCCTGTGCCCTCAGTGATCTGGAGGTTAACAAGGACACCTGTGATTTAACTGGCACAAGAATTCCCAGGTGAGGTAACAACTGTTACCCCTGACTTTTTCCGATAATTTTCATAACTGCCAGCAGGACCCCCCTCATGTTCCTCCCCATAGCCAGAGGAAACAGCAGAGTCCAACTGTGGTAACCACCACTTATTACAGTGTAACCCTGGGAAAACAGGCATCCTCCAGTGGCCAGACCTCCACTTGCTTCATCATAGCCCTAGGCAAATATGCAGATGCCAACCCTACAGAAACCTAGGAAAACAGCCAGCAGAATACCCAGCTCCTGCCACGTGCTTCAGCAATAATCCTGGTCATCAGGCAGCCCAGCACTAAACCATTACTACCTACTTCAGCAAAGCCCTGGGAAAACTGGCATCCTCCAGAGGTCAGACCTTCATATGCTTCAGAACAGTTGAGGGCAAAAAGGCAGCCTCCTGAGGACTGACCTCAAATGCTTCCTTAGGGAGATGAAGAAACACCTCACCAACCAGCACATGCCAGACAACACCACTAGGACCCCAACTCTGCACCAAGAAAGCTGCCAGACCCTTATGGTCTCCAGCAACACTAGCCACTCAGCATTTCTCCTCCTCAGTGCAGCATCAGACATGAGGGTCCCCCATGGGCCTCAGGGCAACATCAGTGCACCACCGAGTAAACAGCGAGGGAAGCCTGAGACAGAACACCCTCCTTGGGAGTAGAGGTCAAATTTAAAAGAAAGGGAAAAGGCTTAAAAAGATGAGCAAAAACAACAAAACAAGAATCTAATCATAGAAATCTATTATAGTGACAGGGATGACCAAGACACAAACCCAGAAGAGGACAAAAATATCAAAACACCTATGAGGAAAATGCCCCCAAAACAGGAAGTGGTCTCAAGCCCCAATAGAGCTCATAGAAGAGCTCAAAAAAAAAGTTTAAAAATCATATAAGAGCAGTTGAAGAAAAAATGGGAAAGGAATTGAGAATGATACAAGATAATTATGAAAAAAGAGTCAACAGCTTGGATAAAGAAAACAACTGCTCAAAAAAGTAGAATTGACCAAATGAAAAGAAGACACAAAAATCCACTAAAAAAAACAACTCATTAAAATGTACAATTGGCCAAATAGAAAAGAAAATAGAAAAGCTAACTGAGGAAAACAGTTCTTTAAAATTGACACTGTGAAACATCAAGACTCAATCAAACAAATTGAAAAGAATGAAAAAAAATATGAGAATGTAAAATAGTTCATTGGAAACAAAGCTGACCTGAAAAATAGATCCAGGAGAACACTTTCAGAATCATTGGATTACCTGAAAACCATAGTCAAAATTAGGACCTGGACTGCATCTTCCAATAATATATCAAGAAAAACTGTACTGATATCCCAGAAGGTAAAGGGTTATTGAGGGTAAAATAGTTACTGAAAGAATCCACTGATCACTTCCTGAAAAAGATTCTAAAATGAAAACTCCAAGGAATATTGTAGCCAAATTCCAGAGCTCCTAGGTCAAGGAGAAAATATTACAAGCAGCCAGAAAAAAAACAGTTCAAGTGTTGTGGAAACACAATCAAGATAACACAAGATTTAGCAGCTTCTGCAATAAGGGACCGGAGGGCATGGAATATAATATTCCAGAGGGCAAAGGTGATAGGATTACAACCAAGAATCACCTACCCAGAAAAACTGAGTATAATCCTTCAGGGAAAAAATGGTCATTCAGTGAAATAGAGGACTTTCAAGCATTCTTGGTGAAAAGACCAGAGCTGAATAGAAAATTTGACTTTCAAATACAAGACTCAAGTGGAACATAAAGAGGTAAACAGGAAAGAGAAATCATAAGAGACTTATTAAGGTCAAACTGTTTACATTCCTGCATGGAAAGATGATATTTATAACTCATGAGACCTTTGTCAGTATTAGGGTTGTTGGAGAGAAAAATTATATATATGTATAGATAGACAGACATACCAAGACAGACAGACAGACAGATAGACAGATAGATAGATAGATAGAGGGCACAGGGTGAGTTGAAGTTGAAGGGGTCATATCTGGAGAATAAAATTAAAGGAGGAGAGAGGATTACACCAAAAGAAGGAGAGAGAGAGAGGTAGAATGGGGTAAATTATCTCATAAAAAAAGAACAGAAAAGAAAAGGCTCTTACAATATAAGGGAAATGGGGGAAGGTGAGAGGGAATGGTGAATCTTATTCTCATCAGATTTGGTTTAAGGAGAGCATGACATACCCACTCAATTGGGTATGGAAATCTATTTTACCCTACAGGTAAATAGGGTGGAAGTGGATAAGAGAGCAGAGGGATATTAGAGGGGAGGGAAGATTGGAGGAAGGGGTAATGAGAAGCAAACACTTCTAAGGAGGGACAGGATCAAAAGAGAGAATAGAATAAATGTGGGGGGGGGATAAGATGAAGGGAAATATACTTAGTTTTTCACAACATGACTCCTATGGAAGTGTTTTGCATGACTACACTTGTAAAACCTGTATCAAGTTGCTTGTCTTCTCAATGAGGGTGGGTGGAGAAGGAGGAAGGGAGGACATTTGGAACCTAAAGTTTTAAAAGCAAATGTTAAAAATTATTTTCACTTGCAACTGGAAAATAAGATATACAGGCAATGGGATATAGAAATTTACCCTGCCCTACAGGAAAATAAAAGGGGAAGGAGATAAGAGAAGAGGAGGAGACAGAAAGGAAGGCAGATTAGGGGAAGGGGTATTCAGAATGCATGCCATTTTGGGGTGGGGGAGGGACAAGGTGAGGAGAAAATTTAGAACTCAAAATCTTGTGGAAGTGAATGTTGAAAACTAAAAATAAATAATTTAATAAAGTGGGAATAATACACAAAAAAAAGAAATGTTAACTTTAGCAATAAGAGAAGAAAAAGAAATTGAAGGAATTAGAATAGGCAATGAGTAAACAAAACTATCACTTTTTGCCAATGATATTATGGCATACTTAGAGAATCCTAGAGAATCAACTAAAAAACTACTTGAAATAATTAACAACTTTTGCAAAGTTGCAGGAGATAAAATAAACCCATACAAATCATCAGCATTTCTATATATTACCAACAAATCCCAGTAGCAAGAGAGAGAAAGAGAAAGTCCGTTTAAAAGAAATGTAGAAAATATAAAATATTTGCAAGTCTACCTGCCAAAACAAACCCAGGAACTATATGAATACAATTACAAAACACTTTTTACACAAAATCAGATGGATTTCAGAAAAAACGTGGAAAGACTTACACGAATTGCCACTGAGTGAAGTGAGTATTGTTCCTGGAGAATATTGTACATAGTAGCAATAGCACTGTGCAATGATCAAATATGATAGGCTTATTTTGTGTCAGAAATATAACAATCCAACAATTCCAAAAGACTTGTGATGGGAAATGCTATCCACATCCAGACAAAGAAGTATGGAGTATGAATGCACATTGAAGTATACTATTTTCCCTTTTTTTGTCTTTTGCTTTTTTCTTTGTTATAGTTTTTCCCTTTTTTCTGATTCTTCTTCCACAACATGACTAATGTGGAAATATATCTAATATAATTGTACATGTATAACCTTTATCAAATTGTTTGCTTTCTTGATGTGAGGAGTGCAGAGGGAGGGAGAAAAGTTTGAAAATAAAAACCTTATAAAAGTGAATGTTGAAAATTATCTTTACATTCATGTAAATACATGTAATTAGAAAAAATCCTTAAATGGGGAAAAAACAATAATCTTTTAAATGAACATTTATTTATCATTTACTTTGAGTGATACACTGTGCTAGATATTAAATCACAGATTCTTCACATGAAAAAATTAAGTTTTGGGATAACTATTTTCTCAGAAAAAAATGTTTTTTTTTGTAATGGTATGTGTTTTATGTATTTTAAAGCATCATTTTGAGAAATGGTCCATAGGCTTTTCAAAAAGGCCACTGAAAAGTTCTATGACACTTAACTAAGAACCCATGAAGTAGGGGGAATGTAAAGATAAAAAAGCCATCATAGATGACTTCAAGGGATCTATTATCTAGTAGAAAAAAATGACATATAATGAGATAATTATAATTTAAGTGAGAATATAGTGAGAGCATAAATGTATTGATTGTATCAATCCATCAATTAAAAAGTTTTTATTAAGTATGTACAATGTTCTAGGCACTGGGTTACAATCCCTACTTTAAATAGTCTTTCACAGCATAGGAAAAAGGCATTAGAGCTAAAATCAAGAGACCAATGATCCTGAAGAAATCTCTTTCTCCTCAGAGATCAGGAAAGAATCTATGGAAGTGATCACATTTGAGCTGGGCAATAACCTCCAGGCAAAGTGAAGGGCATAACAACAATAGCAAAAAATACTATTATGCTATATTTAACTTCCTAACATAAGACGTTTTCACCATTATTCATTATTAAGAATTCATGCACTACCTGATTTTAAAATTCTTTTTGCAGGGTTTTGTAGATTTTGACATAACTTGTTTTAAAAAATATGGGAAAACCTGGGGGTGGGTATTCTAAGTAATCTTTCCATTATACCTAAGCATTTTAATGGTCAGTCAACTATAGTTTCCCACTCAAAAAATTACATTTGTGAGGATAGAGGTACATCTGTTTAATGCCACAGAATTCTAATTCAGGCCAATAGAATTACCAGATGCACCTGGTATGATATTACCCTTGGTCATGGAGTTTGTAAACATTCCCTTGTTTTAGTTCAGTGCTATGATAAGGTGAATGTTGAAGAAATAAGGAAATATTTTAAAAGTGACTATCATGTAAAGGCCTGCTAAGCAATGCAGATACAAAGACGGAATTGAAAAAGAGTTCCTGCCCTGAAGGAGCTTCTGTTCTATTGAACAATTCAACATGTAAAAAGAATAGTAATGAAAAAAGATGATTAGTGAAGTTATAACATATAGAGCAATGAGGGCAATGAATATTTCTTTGAGAATTGATTTTACATCAAAGGACTATTCTTTCACTTTTTAAAATTTACTGTCTAGAATCTTATTAGTTCTGACCCATGAATTTGTGATAATTCGTACTTAGTAACTATCATTCTTAGTGAGTATGAAGAGTTAAACAATAGTAGAATTTTTAGAAATGTTGGAAATATTGTATGATTATATATGCAACTGCAAATTACATTCCACATGAACTAAACTCACTTTAATTTCCATGAGTAACCAATGATATACTGGTTAGCATTAGTGTAGCACTTGATACCCTGTCAGTCTGGACCCTCTTATTAGCTACTTCAGATTCTAGAGATTTGGAAAGATGGCCAGAATTCTTTTCAAATCTTAGCTCTTGAACACTAACACTAATGTTTTACTTTTACTAGTCAGCCACAGGACAAATGGTCCATTAACAGGGAATATAACTAAATAGCAATGAAAAATAATCAGCAATAGAACATGGCTTTTACAAACTTTGAGCTCACTCCCCACAAACACACTAAAATTCAATGAGATGAGATCATTGTTTGAATTATGCCTGCACAATGACACCTTGGTACACATATGAGTAGAGCACATGTCTGAAGGTACGTAGGCAGCACATGTGAATAAAACATATATGTATAGGGACACCTCATATCAGCAAAACTGCATGGCTACCAATGTCCTTTGCTGATTTGACAGTATTAATCTATTAGACTTATTGCCTGCCAATCATCTTCTACCAGGTCTTTCCTCATTATGTTACATCTTCATTGCTTTGGAATACCAAGATTCTAAATTCTACCTTAAACTCTCAGAAAAGGTAATTTATTGATTGGTTCTGGGTAAGCTGCCATGTAAGCACACTTCTTATATTGTCTTCATAATTGTGGTCATCCCTTTTCATCACTTTAGGTACAAGTACTCACAATGTCTTGTGCTCAGTACTTTTCCTTATTCTAATCACTCAAATTATTTCCCAAGCCCACTCTAACCCAATTTTCCATTACGTAATGCTTCTGTCCTTCAAAGAATCATCCTATCATCTGCCAACTTTCCTACACAACTCTAAACTTTTCAATCACCTTGATTTCTAATTCTTTGTTTAATAGAATCCTGACCCTCTCTTGAAAATACCTTATCCCTTAAAATGCTTTCTTTTTTGTCTCCTCCTCCTTCCACCCTCTACTCATATGGTTAGAAGAGAGAGAAGGTATATTCCTTAAACATCATTGTTTTTTTCTGGATCATTCTTCCACTACACCCTAAATACTTTCCCCTTTATCTGCTTACTTTCAAGTAAATTTCCCAACTTGTTTAATGACCTTGTTGCCAGGTTCACTATCTTATCTGCTCTTGGCCACTGATGGATATTTCAGTTGCTAGCCTGACCATCCAACTCCTCAACCTCTACAATTCCAAAGAGTTTCTTTACCTACCTCGTCAGTATGTCAGTATGAACTAGTAATCTCACCAATACCCAAAGCCCCAATTAAAATTCCACAATTCAACCACCAACTTGTTTTTACTCACTCTCATTAAACTTATTTATTAGTACTCACTTTTATTGTACATTGGGGTCCTTGATCATTTTCCTTTTCTGCTTCCTAACCTTGGGTTCTATTTGCCTCAATGCTTGACTGTGACCCTATTTTTTTGATATATTAATGCTTTTCTATATCCTCTTCTAGTATATCTCAAACTCTTTTCTTCCAGAAATTCCAATTTTCAAACTCTCACTCTAGTTTGAATCCCAATAACAGATTTCTCCACTTCTATTACAGGACAAAAGCCCAACCATAGAGAAATTATGTCAGTTTCACTCAATTCAAATTCATGGTACATAACCTTGGCTTGGAACCTCAGTGGCACAATGGATAGAGTATCAGGCTTGAATCAGGATGTCTTGAGTTAAAATTTGGCCTCAGATATTTACTACCTGTGTGACCCTGAGCAAGTCACCTAACCCTGTTTGCCTCAGTTTCCTCATTTGCAAAATGAGCTGGAGAAGGAAATGGCAAACCACTCCAGTGTACTTGCCAAGAAAACTCCAAATGGATCATGAAGATTTTCACATGACTGAAATGATGAACAACAACAGTATTGAATTTTATTTTTATTTTGTTAAACAATTTCCAATTTCATTTTAATGTGGTAATCAAGACTTTTAAAGCTGCTTGTAGATCAACAATGATTTTGAAACCTCTGATACACATGGTTTTCTATTTTCATAACTCTGAGGATTTTATTCAACTCCTTTTCCTCCCTCTTATCTCAGATTCCTTCAGTTTCCTGCAGTTTTCAATTCCATCTCTGCAACATCTCTCAAATCCCTTTTATATTCCTACTGCCACCACTACCAACACTAGAACAAGATGTCATTACCACTCACATAAAGTATTGTTGTGGCCTTCTGATAGAATTCATCCTGCCTACACTTTCCCTTCTACTCGGTTCATTAAAAATTATTTATTTTTAAAAACTGTTTATTCGTTTTTAACATCCATTTAAAATTTTTTTGAGTTCTAAATGTTCTCCTTTTATCTAGTCCCTCCCTGACCAATTGAGAAGGCAAGTAACATGACATCAATGATATATGTGAAGTCATGCAAAACATATATCCATATTAGCATGTTCAAAAAACAACTCAAGAAAAAGAAAGTTGAAAACAATATGCTTCATCAGTTCTCCCTCTGGGGGTGGATGGCATTTTTCAATGTGAACAAGCCCTTTGGAATTTTCTTGGATCACTTGGTCCATTTTATTACCAGAATAATCTTTTTTGTGCATAAATCTTGTGGATAAATTTATGTTCCCACTTTTGCACAAAAGTTTTCCCTGGCTCCCTATTGCCTCCTAAGTATAATTCAAAAACTACTGCCTCATGTTCAAGGTTCTTCCAAGCATGCTACCACCTCATCTTCCTAGGTTTATTTTCTATTAGTTCCCTCTATACACTTTGTTCTTTAGCCAAACTAGATGACTCTTTGACTTTCAAACATTCTTGCCACTTTCATGCCACTGTGACTGCTCAGGCTGTTTGCTGTCATTGAAATGCCCTCTTGACTTCCTTTTTCTATTGAGTGCCTGATCATTCTTTAAAGCTTAATTCAAAAGCCACCTCCTCAATGAAACTATTCCCTTTTCCCAGCATACCTAACAAGAACAAGAACAACAACAACAATGACAAAATCTACTCTTTAAGGTTTTCAAAGTATTTTATACATGTTCTCTTACTGATCCTCACAACAACCCTCTAAGGTTGATATTATTCTTTTCTTCATTTGGCAGTGAGGAAACTGAGTTTGAAAGAGGTTACTGACTTGCATGAGGTCACAGAATTAGGAAGTGTCTGAGGCAGGATTCTAATTTAAGCAGGTGCCGAGTATTTCATAAATATTCTCTGATGAATTTTATTTTAGATTCTTGGTTCATTTCCACATCTCTAATTAGAGCAAACCTAAGGCAGCAGCAAGCTCATGGTCATCCATTTATAGTTTCTACTTGTAATCTCCATTAACAACAGTGTAACTTGGTGAGTGATACAATTTGTTCCATTTGCGGGTATAGGTTTTTTGATGGCAGACAACCAGTACTGGCCATCATGGACCCAGAGACTATCAAATCAGTGTTGGTAAAAGAGTGCTATTCTGTCTTCACCAATCATTGGGTAAGTAATAGTGGCAGAATGATGCTGACAACAATGGGGAAAGCATGTTAAGCATGTTAAGGATCACACAGTTTTTAGATCATCTATAAACACTAGTTTCACTATTAACATTCTTGCAGAAGACAGGCCAGGCAAGATACCCCAGCTAAGGGCAATGAAGGTTGAGGTGGAGACAGAATACAGTTTTTGTTGGGTGAATTGATTCTCCATCAATGCCTCTTGGGCCCAAAAACTTGGGAGTGGTGCTGGCTCCCCAACAACTATACTTTCTTGTAGTGCAGCCCACTGGGCCACTATTAAAGGGAAAGGTCATTTGGAAAATGGGCCTGTTTACCTCATCTCCACAGGCAATAAGTGTTGACCAGCTCCAATAGATAGATGGGTGCAGGAGACATAGTCTGGGAAGTACCCTTAAGCCTTTTTTTCTACTTCTGAAATGGCATTCCCAGTCATGATCTTGTTGGGGGACATCCTGGGGAGAAAGTGCTGACCATCCATGAAATAATTAACTGATATTTGATAGGCCAGCCAGAATAACTGAACCAAGTGATGCCGTGAGGAAGAGATAGGAGGTAATGTGTGCCAGGTAGGTCAAATTGCCACCACCACCACCACCATCTTCACCACCACTTCACATGAGGCATTCTGGGGGACAGCCTAGGACATGGCACCCAGGACACCTGGGATTAGCACTGCATTAGCACCAGGCACCATTCTGGGAAGCAATCTCTGTCATGGTGCAGCCTGGAAACTGTTCCTGGAGGTATAATTCTCACAACTTTTAAGGACTCAGAAAAGAAAACTCTTGCCACCAAAGTCCATGGGCTATAAAGAGTCAGGTAACAAATGACAGATATTTAGAAAGAGTTAGTTTTTATGCTGGAAAGTATAATAGACCTCTAGTTCTGGTTCCACCAATTACTACCTGAATGGCTTTATCTTTTACCTTTTTCTCCTAGAATGTTGGTCCAGCAGGGATTTTGGAAACTGCTATCTCAATTGCTAAAGATGAACATTGGAAGAGGATTTGAATAGTGTTGTCTCCCACATTTACAAGTGGAAAACTCAAGGAGGTAAAGCAATGGATATTGGTCAAATTCTAGAAAACTGAGTATAGGGGAGAGTGAAAAAAATAAGTTCCAATGATTTTCTCCAATTAAAGCCTAATTAATAGGCCCTCAAGTTTGAACTTTCTATAGGGGAATATTTTGTTTCCTACTTTTTGTGAAACAATGGGGGGAGCACTGTCTCTGGAGTTAGACAACTTGATCGACAATCTCACCTCTGATGCCTATTACCTGAGTCACCATTGGCAAGTCACTTAATCATTTTGACTGCAGTTTGCTCTTCTTTAAAATGAAATATTTTGACTACCTGTCCTAGAAGACTGGTTCTTTCCATAGATGTATGATTATTTGCATTTCAAAAGAGAGAAATAGGTTTATAAAATACCATTATTCTTCTTCAGGCTTGAGAAATCAGGTTTGTGTTGGAATTGGGTTTTCCACATATAACTATTGTCATTTGGCATTTAGATGTTTCCCATCATTAACCAACATGGAAATGTGTTAGTGAAGAACATGCAGAAAGAAGCAGAGAAAAACAAACCTGTAACTCTGAGAGAGTAAGTATGGGGCAACAGCTGTAGGAATCTATGGAGCAACAGACACCCTGATTACCTAATTTCCTGCCATCTTTCCTCAGAAACTGAAGCACCCACTTTTAGAGTTCTTCTCTTGACTATTTATTTAACAATGCAGTTAAAGGACAGCATGGTGAGATCTTCCTCTCTTAGGCTAAACATCTTGATTAAGCCATTGACAATTGTTCACTCTACTTTTGCTCCTTTTTTCTTTGTCTTTTCATATTCTGAACTCTCTGTAGTCTGGCTTCCAAATTTATCATTCAACTAAGCCTTCAAAAAAGTATTTTACAAAATGTCTCCAAAATTACTACTGATCTTTTTTACATTTGTGAAAACATTTAAAACTCTTTTCTTCACCTCTTGCATTGTCTCTTCTGGAAATTGTATTTGAATTAGTGTCCAAGTTGTGTTTTCCTTTGAGGCTTTGCTAGTAGATTTTTTTGGAGCTTTTTTTTTCTTCTGGGTTTGTGTTTTGACTCTCTCTGTCACCATAATAACTTTTTATTATGAAATTATTTGTTTGTTCATTTTTCCAACTTCCTGACATTAGATTTTAAGTTAGGTCTAGATTCTACACACTTCTTGAGGAAGTTGGTTGTTGTGTTGTAGCTTTCTAGGGCTATTGGTTGTTTTGTTGTTCTAGGCTCCAAAGGAGATCTCATGCTAGGACTTACATACTTTTGATGCTCTCATTAGTCTTATCCAGGGCAAAGTCTGACCAGTTCCTTCCTCTTTCCCCTTGGTCAAGTGAGGTCTGAGGTTTGCAGGTTCCTGACCTATATTTGGGTATGAGTAGCAATAGACTGCTGCTGGACTGAGGCACTATCATCCAGTGGGAAAACCCTCCTGGTTCAGACTGGAGGAACTGTAGTCTTTCCTCCCATTCTGAGATTCCTTTCACTATTATTCCTCAGTGTGTTTCAAATTTATCTAAAAGCTAGAGCTGAGAACAAACTCTTTTCTTGGGATCTGAGGCACATTGCCATTTCTTGCTTCTGAACTTCCCCTTTGTTTGATAGGATCTGTGATTCATCCTCACATCTTGGTCCTGGTCCCTTTCATAATCCACATGTCATTTGTGACCTAAAAAGGTGTAGGAGTTGATAACCTGCCAGTTGGCATCAGTCCCTGTATGCTACCTGAGTTCCCAGTGTCCCTGTATTTGTTTAGAACCTTTTATTTTCCTTGGGCAAAGTCTCTAGTTGCTAGAATGTTGCATTGTACAAATTTCTGGTCAGTATATAAAGACCTTTATTTGTCTCCTTCCACCAAACTGGTCTGGACAAATGACTCATTGTTTTTTCCTCCTTCTTGGATTTCCCAATCATTAGTCAGTTTGGTCCAATTTCTAGACTAGTTTTGGAGTGGAGGGAGCTCTCTGTGCTTCTTGTTTCTTTTCGATGTTAACTCCAGCTCTTTTATAGCTCTCTTAATTTTCAAATCAATGACTTGTGGATTTTAATCCTTGTTGACTCCATTGTAGCATCCGACACTGTTGACCACCTTCTCTTTCTGAATTCTCTCTACTCTCTGAGTTTTGTGATTCTGCTACATTTTGGTCCTCCTCCTGTCTGTTTTACTGTTCTTTCTCAACCTACTTTGCTAAATGCCCATTCATGGAATGCCTACTAATTGTGGTTTAGTCGGTCAAGAATAATTTATTGTACTTAATTTATTAAGAAACAATGTGAAAAAGTTACCCCACTCAAAATAACTCTAACCAGTATACCTGGGAGTATACCTGCCAAGTCCAACCCAGGAACTGTGCAAACAAACTTATTAAAAAAAACTTTTTATACAAATGAAGTAAGATTTAAGTAATTGGAGAAACATGAACTGTTCATGGGTTGCAGGGCCAATAAGATTAAAATGACAATTTTACCCGATTTATATATTCAATGCCATCTCATTTAAACTTCTAAAAGTACTTTATTAATCAGAAAAAAATAATAACAAAATTCTTTTGGAAGCACAAAAACTCAAGAATATCAAAGGAAGTAATGAAAAATGTAAAGGAAAGAGATTTAGCAGACCTTAAACTATATTAGAAGGTAGTAATTATCAAAACTATCTCTTACTGGTTCTGAAATAGAAAGTAGGTCAGTGGAACAGAGTTGACCTACAGTTTACAGCCACAAATAAAGTAACATTGTATTTGACAAATGTAATGACTCAAGATTTTGGGATAAGAATTCATTTGGTAAAAATTATAGGGAAAATTGAAAAGCAGTATGACATAGAAACTGGGCATAGACCAATATTTTACACCATTTGCCAAGATAAGACCGAAATGAATACATGACCTAAATATAAAGAGAGATATTACAAGAACATTTGAAGAACTTAGAACATATTACTTTTCATACTTATGGATAAGTAAGCAATTTATGAATAAACAAGAAATGAAGAGCTGAGTGAGGCTTAAAAAGGATAATTTTGATTACATTATATTAAATAGATTTTGTACAAATACAGCTAAGATAAGAAGGAAAGAGAAAATTGGGAAAAATTTATAGACATTTTCTCAGAGAAAGGTCTTATCTCAAACATATAAAGAACTTTGTCAGATCTATAAAATATGAGTCATTCCTCAATTAATAAGTTAAAGGTAGTTTATGAACAGGTAGTTTTCTGATGAAGACATCAAAACAATTTATAGTCATGTAAAATGCTCTAAATCATTATTTTTAATATTTTCCTTAAATTGTCTTTTATTTAAATTATTAGTATCTTCAGTTCCTTCAACAAACCTTTTCTTTTGCATCACCTCACCATACTAGTCGTTGTACATCATTTACCTCCAGCTTATCAATGGCCTTCTCCAAATATGACACCCAGAACTGTGGACACAATACTATAAATATGGTCTTATCAGGGCAGGGTGCATCAGGACCATCACCTCTTTAATTCTGTATAATATGACTTCATGCCTACATTCTAAGGGTCCATTAAGTTTCCAAATTATTATTTATTACAAAAATGCAAATTAAAACAACTTTGAGAAATCATTTTACAACTATCAGATTGACAAAAATAATTGAAGAGGATAGTGACACATGTTGGAGGGGATGTGTAAAAATTGGGAAACTATTTCATGGTTGGTGGAATTGTGAACTGATCTAAACATTTGGGAGAGAAAAACTGGAATTATGCCCAAAGAATCATTAAACTACCTATTCCTTTTGACCTAGCAATAACGTTACTAGGTCTATTTCCAAAGATGATTAGGGGGAAAAGGAAAAGAATCTATATGATCTAAATTGTTAATAGGAGCTCTTTTTGTGGTACAAAGAACTGGAAATTGTGGAGATGCCCACCAATTGGAGAATGGCTGAACCAGTTGTGGTATGTGATTGTTATAGAATACTATTTTTCTCTAAGAAATGCTGAACTAGATGATCTTAGAAAACATGAATAAACTTGCACAAAATAATGAATAAGAAAATGAGCAGAACGAAAAGAATGCTGTGCGCAGTAAAAGCAATATTGTTTGAAGAACAAGTTTGAGTGACTAAATAATTTTGACTATTGTCAATATCCAAATGAACTATAAAGAACATATGAAGGAAGATGCTACCTGTATCCAGAGAAAGAATTGATAAATAGAAGTCTGTAGAGAATGATTTTACATGCACTCACACACACACACACACACATACACACACACGCATGCACACACACACACACACATAATTGTGAATAATGGTAGCCATCTCTAGTTTAGGGGGGGATGGAAAACACAGGAAACAATAAATTTATATGATAACTTAATTAGATATTTAAAAGGAATAGCAAGCTGTACAGAATAGATTTGCACATTCATGTGCGCTTATTTCTTTTGTTTTTACCATGTTATAGAAATGCCTGTTTTGACACACAGAAACACACACACATCTATACCTACATGTTCGTGTCCAATGGTAGCCATCTCTAGGGTGGGGAGAGGAAGAAAAACAAAGGAAAAATAAATTTACATGATAACTTTACTGTATTTTTAAAAGGTGTAGCAAGTTGTACATGCTAGATTTGTACTTTCATGTGCAAGTATCTTTATTCTAGTATCATGTTGTGGAAATGCTTGCTTTATTTCATAAATTAAAAATTAAATAAATAAAAATTTGAAACATAGGAAAAACATCATGATAAGAGTGGGATTGATGGTGTAGCTAATCTCAAGAAGACAGAAGAACATGTGGTCAAATGTATAATTGTTAGTACATTCTCCAATGTGGCCACCTTCCACTACTTCTGTATTTACCTTCTAGGCATTGATTTATGTAAGTACGTATTTATGTATGCATACAATCTCTATTTTAATATAAACTTCTTGAGGCCAGAGTATGTGTTTTTGCATTTTTCTCATTTCGCCAGTGCCTAGAATAGTGCCTGGCACATAGTAAGCATTTAGTAAATGATACCTTATTAATTGGAAATAGGGAGTATTCACACTGTGGAGAGGAAAATGTATCCCTGGTAAAATGAGGGAAACTAAATCTTCTCTAACAGTTTAGGAAAAGGAAGTGATAATCCCAATCAGCAATACTATTCATTTTGTCCCATGAATGTCCAAGCTATCATTCATTTATTCATTCACTCTTTCATTTATAAGATTCTTTGGACTTATTGGTACTTAATGAAAAGAATCCAACATTCTTCTGAAAAATCTCACCTAGTAGATGCTACTGATTATTTTCACCTCTGGCCCATATGGCCTGTTGGCTTGAACATAGAGACCAGATGATAAACCTGGCCAGACCACATTAAAATGTAATTGGGAAATAGGAAATAAAATAAAAAATACAATGGAACATAGGTAATATTAATATGTGGTTTTCTAATTTCACAGATATTTTTGGAATGGTTTAGTGAACTTAGTTCCTATAGAGTTTCACACTATGGGTTTAGAGGCTCACTTCATGTTATTACTTGGTGATGAAAGATGTGATGCCTGTTTTGAGTCATTTTTTGCTTTCTTTCCTCAGCATTTTGGGGGCCTACAGCATGGATGTGATCACCAGCACTTCATTTACTGTCCATGTTGATTCCTTGAATAACAAGAATGATCCTTTTATCAGAGAAATCAGGAAATTAATAAATGGATTTAGTATTCTGGACCCACTCAGACTTGCAATAGGTAAGTTAGTTCTTCTTTACGCAAATGGATAATTAAGAATTGAGTGGTCTGAACTGGTCCAAGGATTCCTGAAGATAACTCAGTAAGTTGGATTAAAATAGGCTTAGAGATGGACATAAATTTAGAAGCCACCAAGTCTAACCCCTTTATTGAACAGAGGATTAAACCGATGCATAGAGAAATTACAACACAATCTCAGGAATTCTGGAGATTCAGTTCTTTAATTGCTCTATGTTAGTGAGGGCGGGCTTTCAGAAATCAGCTGACCAAAACACTCAAGGGAATTATTTGCTGATTGGTCAGTCATAGCAAGCTTTGTAATTAATCTAGAAGACCAAGGATAGACACAGAACACCTGATTTTGGAGAGCAATTCCCTTCCATTTTGGGGCTTTTTGTTGACCCCCACCAGTTCACAGACAATCAAAGGTACAAAAAAGAAATGAGTAAGCCAGGTTACAATTTGTACCTATGTTGCCATTTCTCCATATACATTCCAAATAGAGGGGATAGCATCTTTCATAAAATTCTACAGTTTCATAAGGATTTTTTTTTGTTTTTTCTTTTCCTCAGCACTTTTTCCATTCCTTGTTCCTTTGTTAAAAACATTGGACATAACTTTATTTCCAAAAGAAGCAACAGATTTCTTAGCAAAATCAGTTAAAAAAATAAAGGAAGAATGAAAGAATAATTCACAGAAGGTAAGGCTATCCAATGTTCAGAATAGGTATATGCGTACATTTATAAATTATGGTATACTTTATCTTTAGAGTAGAGCAAACAAAACCTGTGTTCCATTTTACTTGATCTTCATCTTTGTTCTATAATTTTTATTCAATTCCAATTGTCAGATTTTTTGAGCACTTACTGTAACCTGAAGAAGTGTCACTTTGTGGCCTCCAAGCTTATTTCCAACTCTAACTCTATGCCCTTATCATTTAATATTTGCCAAACTTAGTGATCTGTGTCTGTGGGAGTACCAAGAGAAAAAAAAAGACACTATCCCAGCTCTCAAATATTTTACAACCACACAAGTGGTATAAAACACATACCAAATATTATATTGCAAATTAATAGTTGATGGGTAGCAGCAACCCAAGAAGAAGAAAATACCTTTCTCCTTTATTTATACAATCTCAAAACAGCCTTGCTAACAATACTAAATGCTGTATAAGAATGGGCACAAAATTATAATTGTGCCAGTAATGTTGTATTCAAGTTCTCCATGTGGGCTCTTGGTCCAAATTCAGAACATTTTTCATTTTCCCACAAAGCTCCTACTCTGAGCCTTTACCTGAAAAAAAAAAACAAAACCAAAAAAACCCAAAACTGTGATGCTTAATTCTTGAAGGCCAGGCCAGAAAAGTAAAAACTATTGTTGATGCTTGGAAGCTACAAAGTCTTCAAGCATGGGCATGTTGGTTCATTACATAATTTGCTGACTTAAGGCCAGTCTAGCTGAGTTTGAAGAGGTATGTCCATTGGTTGACCATTGTGAGATCAATTTTTTTGCCTATAGTGATCCTGGAAAACCAGCCATAAAGTTATTGTAAGATTGGTTTGGTGGTGTCCATATCAATGATATTATAAACCAGTGAAGCATTATATTTCCATCCTTTCAGTCTGACTTAAGAGAAGTCATTTCCTGAAATACTTAATATTTTCTTTTAGGTTTTTCAGGGTCTGCTTCTTTCCCATAAACTTGGACTGGTAATTAGGACAGAATCTTTTAAAGTTTTAGAATCTGATATAAAGCAATTATTTCTTTCACTTGAAGCTAAGGCTCTTTGACCTTATAGGATCCTTGGTGGAAGTGCCTTGGGTAGAATATGAATTCTGCCACTCAACTGATGACACAATGTGTCTAATCATTCAGATCTTCACTTGTCCATCCTGCAGTATAGATATTTATCTGCCATGTTCATAGCTAATTTCTGTGTTCTCAAGTGTTTTCTCAGCATTGGTGGTTTCCATTACTTTTACAGTACCAGGTAGATTTCCTTCAGCTTTTGATTGATTCTCAGACTTCTAACAATTCAGAGACGCACTCTCACAAAGATAACTTGGGCATGAGGGTAGTCATTAATGAAATCTTGAATCCGTTATCTGTGGAAGCATGAAAAAAATTTCCAATTTACTTAGATGATATACCAAATGGCAATAACAATGACAATGACAATGATGTTATAGGGTTTTAAAATTTGAAGATAGCACTTTATGTAAATTTCTTCATTAGTTCTTCATAACAATTCTATGTACTTAGGGTCATTCTTATTTCTGATTCAGAGATGAGCAATCTAAGGCTGATGAAGTTTAAGCAAGTTACACAGGATCACAGCTAGTAAAACTTTGAAATAGGATTTGAACTCAGATCAGACTTACCTCTAAGTCCAGCACTCTGGAATATCACCTAGCCACCCCAGAAAGATGCTTGACATCTGTAGGATGAGCTAAATGGAGACAATTTTCAAAAGTATATTTGAATTTGTGATGATCAAGTTAGTCTGAAGCTTGGAGGTGACACAAGAGTCCCTTTTTCATCTCTTCCTAGGACAATAACGAGGCTTAGCGAGATAGGAAAAACAATTTTTTTTCAAGATATAAAATCAGTTCTCTTATTCTAACTGTGCTACTAAGTACCTGGGTGACCCTGGGTGCTTCATTTCACTTGTCAAGACTTGCTTGTCTAGGTAAAAACAGGGCATTGGCCTTGATGATCATTCAATTCTCTTCTAGCTCTAAATCCTATAATTTTGCTCTATTCCCTGCCCTAGGCCATGTTTCTTTGTGCTCAGCTAGTAGGACAGCTAGATGGCCCAAAGGATACAGTGGCAGGCCTGAAATCAGTAAGATGAGTATTCCAGAGCTCGAATCTGGCCACAGACAACTACTTACTAGCTGTGCGACCCTGGGCAAGTTACTTAACCCTGTTTGCCTCAGTTTCATCATCTGTAAAATAAACTGGAGAAGGAAATCCCAAACCACTTCAGTATCATGGCAAAGAAAACCCCAACTTGGGGCATAAAGAGTCTGGCATGACTGAAACAATTGAACAACAGCAACACAGGAAAGAAAAAAGAGTACAAGTTTCTCTTGCAATATAAAACTTGCAGGCAATTTTCTCAAGTTGTGTTTTTATTTGTACTATTCTTATTTAACCATGAGTAGAATAATGATACTCTTACACTGCACCTAAGCATTCTTACCAGAACTCAGCATGGGGAGGCAGTGTATTTTAAGGAAGGGGCAACTGGAGTTGGGAGTCAGAAGGCCAGATTCTAGGCTCAGTTTCAGCCACTTACTGGCTCAGTGACTTTGAAACAGTCATTTTACTGTTCTGAACCAAAATCGCCTTATCTGACAAATGGAGAAGAGGATTGTTGCACTAGAAATTTCACAGGCTTGTTAAGGTGGTCTAATGAAATAATATAGGTGAAATATAAATACTAGGCATATGTATAGAAATGTAATCAATGCTTATTGTTACATTCTGTATACTTTCCCTTCATGGACCCCATCAGAGATAGGATGTAGTGAGGTACAGTGGGAAGAGCATGGTCTCTCGTGTCTGAGGACCTAGGTTCAAATCCTAACTCTTGCCTATGAGACTTTTGGAAAGTCACTTAAACTTGTCAGGCCTCAGTTTATTGAACAGAAGAGTCAGGATGCTGGGCTACATGGCTCTTGAGGTCCTTTCCAGCTGTAGATTCATGATCTCCCTTCAAATATCTTTCCTCCTTATTTACTTCACTCCATACACAACTACCCTATCGCAGGCACCTATTTCCTCTTCTCTGGACTATTGCTAGAACATTCTAATGTATCAGTCCTCTTACACAGTGTGCTGGAAAGAAGAGAGAATTATCTGAAATCAAATGTCACTCTTGTCACAACCAGAAACAACAACTAAGCATGAGGCAGCTGTGTGGAAAGAACAGAACAGATATAGGAGAAAAAAGGTTGAGCAACCCTTGTGATAGATTTTGGTTGAAAACTCCTGTCATGTCATTGAATGCATTTCAGATCTGTTCTAGGTATTCTGGAGAGTCGGGTAGATGCCTTTGCTAAATTCTGTTGATATGACTGAATGATATAACAGTGGTATGATGACTTTGTCTGATTATTTCCCTTGCCTCTATTTCAGATCTGAGTGATTCTGGCCCAATCCATTATCTTTATTCTTGGTGGCTACAGAATCACCACTTCAGTCCTTTCTTTCCTTTTTTATAACCTGGCCACTCACCCTGAGATCCAGCAGAAACTTCAGGAGGAGATAGATGCAGTTTTGCCCAACAAGGATGAGGAGAATAGAGCTATTCATATCCCTTCCCAACTTACTTTCTATTCATACATCTGCCTGATTTCCTAGCAGAAGCTTTGTCAAAATGACCTGTGCTGATGTAGTGTTTGACTTTATAAGATATGGCCAGGTTTTGAAAAGGCAAAGACATGTTGAGACACCATAGATTTATATGGAGTTGTGCTTCCTGAGAAGGAAATATCTCAGGAACTAGTGGCAAACATTGGAAACATGCTGAAACAGCCTACTTGTCCCCTGTTCATACAGCCACTTCATAGCTGTTCGCCAATTTACTGGCACTCATTTCCCATCTCTTCTGATACTCAGTATCTTTGTAACTTTGAGTCTCCTCTCTACTCCTTGCTTAATCTCTTTCTTTCACATTCTGTTTTCTTGTCCCTTGCTTGTCCTCCTCTCCTTCCCTACTCTCTTCTCATCTCCTCTTCTCAGATTTGTGTTCTGTCTCTGATGTGACTGATAACAAGGGTTATATACTCTTCCTGGTGTCAAAAGACAAAAGGTCATATGAATGGACATTGGAGTTTGTCTTTACCAAGGAACCTCTTTTTGATACACCAGGATCACCTGTCTCCAACCCTCTTGGACAAAGTAGGATAATCCTCATTATCATTATGGTAACACTTAAATAGTCATTTCCCTGTGAAGTTAAGGGATATCCTTGAGAATGTATTGGAATAATCCACTTAAACAGTAATGAGTTACCAAGCTAGAGTGGTGGCAGTAGGAAGGAAGAGGAGATAAATTCATAAAAATGTATCTTTAGGTTTCATTGACCAAACCCAAGCCCCTAAAATAGTGCTGAGTGATTCCCCCAAAACCCTCCAAACCCTATAGTTTTCTATAATTTGTATAGATGTGTCAGAACAGGATGATATGATATGTAAATAGATAACCTTTAATGTTATCTGTTGTGACTAATGCTAGGAAAGCCTCTCTGCCCCACCCACAGTATCTCTTCTATATTCTACCAATACAGATGTATACCTTTGAGTCTTTTCTCTTGTGAAGTCCCTTAATGGTATAAAATTCTTAACTATTATGAAATAAGACCAGAGCATCTCAACATTGAAGGTGAACTGAGAATGAGGCTTCTAGTGTCTGGATAGAAGCTAGTCATTTTCTGAAGGATAAGCAAAGATGAGAAGAAGTGGGAGCAATGAAGACACAGATAGGCTGTTCTTGGGTTTCAAGTGTATGTAAAGTAAATTTGACTAAGGTAAATTTTGTCTACTATTCCATGCCAGATTTTATGGTTCACCTGGTTTATTCCAAAAGACAATGCAGAGGAAGAGAAGAAAAATATTCATCTTAGCACAACTTCCTTCTACTGAGGTTCAGGAGTTTTGTCAGAGACTTAAAAGGGTTTAGTTTATGAAAACCTTTTTGTAGATGCAAATCTCATGTTGATGGATCTCAGAATTTTTGAGTCACTTCTTTAGCATGTTCAAATCATAATAAATCAATAATAAAAATTCATTTGTAGCTTTTCTCCAGAAGGTATTACTGGAATATCTGGTGACAAGATGTGCAATGAATATAGTATAGATTCATTCTAAGACCAAGTGAGCAAGGGTAGATGTGATATGTCACCTTAGTACTTAGAACTGTTTGTTCTTTTCCCAGGAAGCAGTCACATATGATGCCCTGGTACAGATGGAGTACCTAGACATGGTGACACATGCAAACCTCAGGATGTTCCCCATAGCTGTCAGGATTGAAAGGGTTGCTAAGAAAACTGTTGAGCTCAATGGACTGAGGATTCCCAAAGGCACAGTGGTGATGGCCCCATGTTATGTCCTTCATCGTGACCCAGAATACTGGCCAGAGCCAGAGGAGTTCTGCCCTGAAAGGTAAACACATTTTTTTTTAAATAAGGAGAAAGGTTACTCAACATCATCAGGTTAGAGAGAACAGTGAGCTGGGCAACAGGGTGAGGGTCTGAATCTTGATTTTGTGTCTTGCTTAGATTGGTGACGCTGGGTCTGTCACTTAAACTCTCACGACAACACTGCATGATGCCTACAGTAGGTATTTCAGTAGCTTGGATATAGCTACTTTAGGCATTCTTGTCTCTACTTTGTAGATGAAGGAATTGAAGCTTATATACATTAAATGACTTGGCATTATACCTATAGCTAAGAAGTGTTAGAAGTCGGTTTTGAATACTGATCTTTGTTAGAGTATACAAGTTGAAAAATGACGGTTTAAACTGTATGCCAACTGAGATCCCTTCCATCTTTAAATTCTCTAAACTTCGACTATTTTAATTAATTATTTCATAGGTTGTCTATTCCAGAGTCAATGCAAACATGTAATTATTTTCATAAATCACTCATCTGTAGATGTTTTAAAGCCCTTAGCAGTAACTAAATTTTTTAGGGTATATCAGACAGAGGGCATCATGTTACATTCATAGCCAGAAAAATCTGAATTCAAAGCCCACCTCTGAAACCACTTAGTTATATGGCTAAGGGTACTAATGATCCCATTCTACATAACGACTCTTCCAAACATTTTCATTCCTCCTGAAACCTCCCATTGCTCCCCCTCTTTCCACTCTCTCTGCTGAGAGCCTTCTCTCATATTTTACCAGAAAAAATGAGACTATTCACAATGAACTCCTTCTTTTTTCCCTCTTTCTCACCTCTCATCACTTTGGTGCCTTCTGCTACTAGCCCCTGCTTGATGTCATGTGACCCCTGTGACACATGATCAAGTAACGTTATTCTACTTGTTCAAGTGATTCTATCTCTTCTAATAGACTGCTCCATCCATTATTCCCACTCTTATACTTGTTTTCAATCTGTCTCTGTCTACTGACTTATTCCTACTGTCTGCAAACATGCCCTTGTGTCTTCTATCCTGAATAAACTACACTTGATCCTTCCCTCACTGTTATTGCCCTATATCTTCTCCATCCTTTGTAGCTAACCTCCTCAAAAAGTTTACAATACAATGAAAAGGTACAAAGGTTACCTACAATAGGTGCTCCACTTTCTCTCCCTTTACTTTCTTCAACTTTGAATTTTAAAGAATTATTTAAAGTCTTTTGTTGTTGTTTTCTTGTTGTTCAGTCATGTCTGACTCTTCATCACCCCATTTTGGGATTTCTTGACTGAGATGCTGGAGTGGTTTGCCATTTACTTCCCCACTTCATTTTACAGACGAAGAAATGGAGGCAAACATGGTTAAATGACCTGCCCTGGGTCACACAGCTAGTAAGTTTCTGAGGTCAGATTTTAATTCAGCCCTTTCTGACTCCAGGCCTACCTCTCTATCTACTCTGCCAGCCAGCAACCCAAAAACTGAAATACTGTTGCAATAAGAGATCAACAGTCTCCTTCTTTACATTTCTTAGTAATTAAAGGTTTAGCATTTCTAAAATTCTAAATTCATTTCTAAAATAATATTGATATTAAGATAGTTTGTTGAGCATATGTTTAAATTTTTTGCCTTTCAAGTCTTGTTTGGGATTTTTTTTTAAATGACAAACAACAAATAGGGCTCCATGATAGGAAGGAACTGTTCTGAAGACAGGCAAGTGGTGCTTTAGATGTTCTTACTATCTTCTTGAGGCAGATCTCTTGATATCTGCTTTTTCGTCTCCTTTCTTATTTTTTATATTGATTTTTAAAATTTTGATTTCCAAATTTTCTCCTTCCTTCTGGTCCATTCCCCACCCACTGAGAAGTCAAGCAATATGAATCTATTTTCCCTGTGAAGTAATGAAAAACAGATTTCCATTTTAGCCTTGTGACAAAAAGCAAGAAAAATAATTTGAAAACAATCTGCTTCAATGTACACTCAGAGTTCATAATTTCCCTCTGTGGAGGTGAATACCAATTTCATCATGATAATGTTTAAATTAATCTTGGATTATTGCATCAAGCAGAGTAGCTAAGTCTTTCACAGTTGATCATTATTGCAATTTTCCTGTTACTGTGCGAATTGTTCTTCATTTGGCATCAGTTCATATAAGTCTTCCCAAGTCTTTCTGAAACCATTCCCTTTATCTTTTCTTATATTGCAACAATATTCCATCACAGTCATACCACAATTTGTACAGCCATTCCACCATTGATAGATATCCTTTGCATTTGAAAATTTTGCCAACAAAAATGGGCTGCTATTAATATTTTTGTAAATATAGATTTTTCCCTGTTCTTTGATCTCTTTGGGGTCCAGATAAGTAGTGGTATTGCCGGATCAAAGTGTGTACAGTTTTATACCCTTTGGGTGTGCTTCCAAATTTTTCTCCAGAATAGTTGGGGAAGTTCACAGTCCCACCAACAGTGTTTCAATGTACTTTTTTTCACTTTGCCTCTAGCATTTGTCATTATTCCCCCTGTCAAATTAGCCTGTCCGATAGGATTAATGTGGTACCTGAGACATGTTGTAGTTTGAATTTCTCCAATCAATACTGATCTGGACTATGTTTTCATATGACTATTGATGTTTTTGATTTCTTCTTCTGAACATTTCCTGTTCATTTCCTTTGACATTTTGTCAATAGGGTATTGATCTTATTTTTACAAATTTGTTCAGTACCTTATTTATATATATATAATATATATATATGTATGTATGTATGAGAAATGAGTCCTTTATCAGAGGAATTTGTTTTAAATTTCCTACCCTTCAACGGTTTTCTGCTTTCCTTCAAATTTTGACTGAATTGGTTTGGTTTGTGCAAAAACTTTTAAATTTCATGTAATCTAAATAATCCGTTTTTACTTCCTGGGATCCTCTCTGTCTCTTTTTTGATCATAAATCTTTCCCTTATTCATATGTCTGAAAGGCGATTTTTTTTCTTTCTAATTTGCTTATGATATCACCTTTTGTGCCTAAATTATGCACCCAGCTTTTCTTTACCTGGCTATACAGTATGAGATGTTTATGTATGCCTAGTTTCTGCCATTTGCAGTTTTTCCAGAAGTTTTTTGCTTTTTGTTTTTGTTTTTTTGTTTTTTGAATAGTGAGTTCTTGCCCCCAAAGCTTGGCTCTTTGGGCTTATAAAACTCTAGATTATTGTGGTCATTTGCTTATGTATATTGTGTATCTAATCTATTTCATTGATCAACAATCAATTATACAGTACCAGAATGTTTTGATGATTACTGTTTAGTAGCATAGTTTGAAAGCTGTTACCACTATGCTTTCTTCCTTCATTTTTTTCCAAGAATTCCCTTGATATTCTTGAACTTTTGTTCTTTCAGATGAATTTTCTTCTCTGTTCCTTTGGTGCTAAAAAATAATTCTTTAGTAGTTTGATTGATATGTCACTGAATAATTAAATTAATTTTAGTAGAATTATCATGTTTGGTTACATTGGTTTGGTTTATTCATGAGCAATTAATATTTCTCCAATTATTTAGAGCTACCTTTATTTGTGTGAAAAGTCTTTTGTTATTGTGCTGTGTGTTTTTTGGCAGGTAGACTCCCAAGTATTTGGTGTTTTCTATAGTTATTTTAAATGAAAGTTCTATTTCTATCTCTTCTTGAATGCTGATGATTTATGTGGATTTGTTTTATACCCTTCCAGTTTGCTAATATTGTTAATTATTTTGATTAGATTTTGTTAGTTGATTCTCTAGGTTTCTCCAAGTATACCATCTAACCATCTTCAAAGAGGATTAGTTTCTCCCCCCTCATGGCCTATGCCTATTGCTTCAATGTTTTTTTCTTGTCTACTGCTATAATTAGCATTTTAGTACAATAGTGAGTAATACTGGTGATAATTGACATCCATGTTTCACCCCTGATGTCACTGGGAAGACTTCTAGTCTATTCCCATACAGATTATGCTTGCTCTTGGTTTTGGATAGGTACTATTTATCATTTTAAGAAGAGCTCCATTTATTCATATGCTTTTTAGGATTTTTAATAGGAATAGGTGGTATAATTTGTCAAAAGCTTTTTTGAATCTGTTGATATAACCACATGAATTTTTCTTTGTAAATGATATGGTCAGTTATAATTTTCCCAATATTTAACCAGTCCTACATTCTTGTTATAAGTCCTACCTGGTAATAAAAATTTTTGTGCTGTATTACTGTAGTCTTCTTTTTAGTATTTAAAAATTTTGCATCTATATTCATTAGAGAAATTTGTCAATAATTTTCCTTCTCTGTTTTTGCTCTCCCTAGTGACACACTTTATTTGTGTCACAGAAAGAATTTCACAGAACTGGTTCTTTACCTATTTTTTTGAGTAGTTTACATACTATTGGAATTAATTTTTTTTTTAATGTTTGCTAGAATTCACTTACAAATTGATGTAGTCATGTGGATTTTCTCATAGGAAGCTCATGTATGGCTTCTGAAATTTCTTTTTCTAAGTGACAGTCATTTAAGTATTTTATTTCCTCTTCTGTTAATCTGTGCAATTCATATTTTTTGTAAATATTCATCTAGTTCATGTAGGTTGTCAGTTTTATTGGTATATAACTGGAAAAAACAGCTCCTAATAATTGCTTTAACTTCATCTTCATTCATCGTGTATTCATCATTTTCATTTTTAATACTGATAATTTGGCTTTCTGCTTTCTTTTTTTGTAAAGATCAAATTAGGCAATAGTTTACTCTTTTTTATTTTTTTCCATAAACCAGATCTCCATTTCATTTTTTAAATTAAAGTTTTTTAATGTACAATTTTTAAAATCTCTTTTTTCATTTTAAGGATTTTATTTTTCTATTTAAATAAAGATTTCCAATTTGTTCTTTTTCTAGTTTTTTTAACTTTCATGCCCAATTCATTGATCTGCAATTTCCCTTTTTTATTGATCTAAGGCTTTAGTAATATAAAATTTCTTCTACATGCTTTCATTGTATCCCATTAATTTTGAATGTTG